ATAGATAGATAGACGTTTATTGAGAAGAATACCTTAATAGCAGCTGGAAGCTGAATTGCAAAGGTGTACAAATTATGTAATAGAACTATACAATAAAATCAAACCTAAAAGGGAACTAATTTACATATACAATTGTAATAAATGTTAGTTAAAATGTCTTGCGCTTGCTGGAATGAAAGTATCTCTGAACCGATTTGTTTTAAAGGAAACTCTAAATGGTCTGCGTCGTCGTAACTCCATAAGTTGATCTCGGTTATCGAAAGGCAGTAAGTGGTACAAACAATCCAAGGGATTGGAGACGATGTTGTTAAAGAATTTTAAGCAAAGGTCTTCTCTCCGATCCCTTAGGGTTTTCAGCTCTGCCATCTGAAGCACTTCTCTATAATGATTATCATAACCGTATATAATTTTCAAGGCTCTCTTTTGGACACGCTCTAAACCTAAGCTCAAATAATTGGGGAGGCTATAATGGTAGACCTGACATCCATAAAGTAAGACAGATTGAATACAAGCAACATAAAAATTAACTAATTCAGGTGATGGTACCTTAGCTCGCTTTAACTGAGTTAAAAAGTAAAGGCGCTTAGCGGCCTTTTTAATCGTCTCAGTAACGTGAGTGTTCCACTTGAGGTTGTCTTGAAAATACACACCCAGTAATTTTACGACACTAACGGCACTAACCTTAGAGCCATTAATTTCTATCAGATCGTAGGAAGGAGGGGAGCGCACAAAGGAAACTCTTAGCTCATTACATTTTTTCGGATGGAGTTGAAATGAATTGAGTGTTGACCAGGTAGCTACTTCGTTTATCATAGACTGAGCATTGCTAGGACCACCCTTGCTTATGATTTCATACACTGTCGTGTCATCTACATATTTTATACAATCACTGGCTGATGGTACTTTCAAATCGTTTATCATAACCAAGAATAGCCACGGTCCCAATTTTGTTCCCTGCGGTACTCCTGCTCGGACCGATCCCCACTCTGAGAGACAATCATGTGCAAGTTTGACCCTTTGTTTCCTATCTTTAAGAAAGGCTATTATCCAATTAATGATGTAAGGGTTAATGTTGTAGGTCGAGAGTTTCGATAACAAGAGGCTGTGGTCTATCAGATCGAAGGCTTTTCTATAGTCCAACGCAAAGATTCGCACGGTGTTCCCCGTTCCGTCTGTTGCTTGCGCCCAATTGTGCATCAGATTTATTAATGCGTGCGCAGTGGAGGATCCTGGAATACACCCAAATTGATCGGGTTCCAGGCGTTTTAGAAGTGCTGGTTTCACATGTTCATGGACGACGTAGTGTTCGGCAATTTTGGACAACGTTGGCGTCAATGAAATAGGTCTCAAATCCTTCGCCGCATCCTCAACTATCTTTGTTTTGGGAAGAGGGGTGATGTTTGCACATTTCCAAATGTCCGGTAAAGTGCCTTGACTAATAGAGGAATTGATGATACAACGAAGGGGTTGAGCGAGTTCAGGAGCGAAGTCACGCAAGACCCAGTTTGGGATATTATCTGGGCCCCCAGCTTTGGAGGAGATGACCGTACTAAGGCATTTGAAGGTAGCTTCCAGTGAAATAATGGGATTTTTAAAACCCTCAGTGCTCACAGTTTCGATATTATCTAAAAGTGGGTCAAACGAAGCTTGAGGTTCTAGCAGAGCTGTATTGATTTCATTAGCCAAGATCTTAAGGTTGATTGAAGTAGCTGGTTTACTTGCTAGGAGCTGATTTGCGACACTTGTAGATGTTTTGCTCTTTCCACATAACCGCCTACATTCGGACCACCACATTTTAGGATTGTTTTCGGTCAAAACGCTGACTATAGTGTTGTAATAAGAGCGTTTGCAGAGCTTCCGTTCCCAGTTTACTTTGTTCCGGTAGTAGTGGAACAGTGGTTTGTTGTCTTGGTAATATGCTCTTTGACGGGGTGCTATAAGTGCCTTGAGTTTGGGTGAAATCCATGGTGCGTCATTTCGGTGGAACTTAACTCGCTTTTTGGGAAAGATAGAATCTAACCCTATGTGAATTAGGTGACTGAAGTGAGCATACTGTTCTTGGACGCTATCTATAGTGTCGATTAATGACCAGTCGACCCCCGTCATATAACGACCAAAAGCCTGTTTGGACTCAGCGTTAACAGTACGTGTAGTAACCGTTCTGTTTGCAGTAATATTGGCTTTCGATCTAGTTTTTGGAAACAAACCAACAGTACAATGATGGGATAGTCCGAATGGCGGGAATGGAGAAGGTTTCTCGTAGTGTTTTGTAAGATTAGTTAACACTCTGTCGAGTGTATGATCCCCTCTTGTTGGAAAATGGACGACTTAACTTAACTGGAGACTCCTCGTAACTGGAGACCCATATCACTGCTGAATATCGATTATAAACTAGCCGCGCGAACCATCGCCGGTCGCCTTCTTGGTATCATCCGTTTAGTTGTCAATCGTGACCAAACATGTGGTGTCCCTGGTCGATACATTGGGGAGAATGTTACGCTTCTTCACCTACGCAGAGTCCTCTGGGACTCCCATTGCGGTACTCTCTCTTGATCAGGAAAAACCCTTCGACAGAGTCGACTGGGGCTTTATGCGGTCCACCCTGCTGACTATGGGCTTCGGACCCTCTTTTATATCCTGGGTCGACCTTTTCTATAATCGAGTTCACAGTGCGGTCAATGTCAACGGCTATCTAACATCCTTCTTTAGTCTTTCTCGTGCTGTTAGGCAGGGGTGTCCACTGTCACCCCTCCTGTATGTACTGGTTTCGGAGGTTGTGGCCCGCAACATCCGCTCCAATCCCCGTATCTGTGGCTTGAGTCTCCCGGGTTGTCCCCCCGTTTCCTCCATCTCTCAATAAGCTGATGACACTTCATTAATTTTGACATCTGACGATGCCATCAAAGCTGCTCTCGAGGTTTACACTCTGTTCGGGAAGACGTCTGGTTCGAAACTCAACGTTGCAGAGTCTAAGGGCCTCTGGTTGGGAGGGTGGCGCGGCCGTACCGACCCCCCGTCCCCTTTGACTGGTCAGCATCAACTCTCAAGATCCTCGGCATCTTTATCGGCCCTGGCAATCTAGACGATGAAAACTGGCGCCCACGCATCAATGCGGTGTATCGTGCTCTCCAATCCTGGCGTTCCCGCTCCTTGTTCTTTACCGGTAAAGCTTTGCTGGTCAATGCCCTTGCCCTTTCCCAGGTTTGTTATGTGGCTTCCCTTGTCCACATGCCATCCTGGGTGGGGAAAGAACGCTCTCTTTTGATTTTCTCTTTTTTTTGGTCTGGTAAGCTTGAACTCGTTGCGCGCTCTTCTGTGTCTCAGCCTCCTCTGCTTGGCGGCTTTTCAGTTGTTGATGTAAAGTACAAAGTATGGGCTCTCCTTGTTCAATGGGTCAGGAGGTTCGCCTCCTCTCCACCTGGCTGGTGTTCCATTTTGTCCTTTTGGTTTCTCTCGTCCTTTGGTGTTCCCCCCCTAGTGGTTTTCTCCCGGCCTTTCTTCTTTGACCACCGGGCTTTACCGCCCGTCCCTAGTCCTGGCGTGGCGCGGGCTGAACGGCTCCTTTGCCCCGTCCAAGAATTCTCTGGTTGTTGGGTCTTCTCTCACCTGTGCTCCAGTTGCAGAGATATCTACTAAGTCTAGCTATCTCTACCTTCTTTCCGAGAACACGATTCCACCGCATTGCATCGGAAAATTTCAGGACCCGTATCCCTGCCTGTATTGGCCTGCAATATGGCGCTCCCTGTCGCTTTTCAACTTGGATCACAAAGTCATTGATCTTAACTGGAAAATAACGCACGGCGTCCTTTACACCGCCCAGCGTCTCTCTTCTTTTGGTCTGACTGTCCCATTACCGTGTTTTTGTGGCGCCCTGGTAGAACCACTCAAGCACTTGTTCTTCTCCTGTCCACTTGCTCAGTGTCCTCTCCTGGGTGCAGTCTCTTATGCTCTGCTACTCTCCCATCTGCCCTGTTCTCTTTCCCCGTCACCTATGTTTTGGTTTTCGATCTGATGACCTTGTTGTCACTCCTCACATTTTCGTCTATACACTGTACGTTTCCAAGTTTTGTATCTGGCAGTCCCGTAAAAGTTTTACTACCACATTCTTGGTAGTAAAGAAAATTACACTATTTCTGAAACTGTACTTCATGATCTTCCTGATTTAATGACAGCTGATGACATAAATCTTGTTTTTTGTCATGAAATACAAGTTGATTTTGAAGATAATGAAAGAACCAAACAAGACAACATTATAAGCCCTATAAAGGATAATCCAGCATCCTTATCCGATATTCTTAGGAAAGCAGATTCAATCATTGAGAAGATTAGCGTGGATGATGACAGAATTAATGAAATTGAAAATGCCACAAGAGAACAGTCGAGGAGCTCCCAGTGGCATGCTGAGCGCTTCCCTAGAATCACTGCATCCAAGTGTAAGCGTGCTCTTATAAAAGAAACAACAAGCCCCACCAAAGCCATGCAAGAAATCCTCTGTTACAACAAAGCCTTTCAATCACAATACATGAAGGATGGAGTCAAATCAGAACTGGAAATTATTAATCAATATTCTAAATGCACAGGGAATGAAGTACAGCCATGTGGATTTTTTGTATCCAAGTCCCATCCATTCTTGGGTGCCTCACCAGATGGACTTGTTGGTGATAATGGTTCCATTGAAGTCAAGAAAATTCATCCCCAGGACAGTGAAACACTAGAAACTGCTCTCTTGAGGCTTAACATTGTGAAAGCTACTGATAGCATAAATGAAAACCATCCATACTATTATCAAATTCAACAGCAGTTGTTTTGCACTGGAAGAAAGTGGACAGATTTTATTGCTTCAGATGGCATCAAGTTATTTATTAAACGAGTAGTATACAACCCTGAGTTTTGGAACACTAAGTTGTCAAGACTTGAGCAATTTTATTATAATGTACTGCTACTGGAGCTTGCGTACCCTAGAGTGAAGGATGGTTTGGAAAGGATAGGTAAATTAGGCATTGATTTCTCCACTTTATCTACCTTAAGGCAAGAGTAACGATATTTCAATCTGCTTTGGAAGTATGGGTGAACTATGCATTGTTTTTTCCTACTTTATCAAGGGATATAGAATCAAAATTGAAAGGAAGATTACGATTAACCATAATGAAAATCACTCTAATA